ACTATTTATTTTGTTATTTATGAGATTTTGAAAATTACTTTTTCTTTCACAATTTTCCATCTCATTTATACTAAACTGGTGTGGAGTTTAATTGTTACTACTATATGATATGGAAATCCCTAGAAATTCTACTACATCTGATTAATGATTATATTCTAAATCACTAAGAAAAAAAAAAGAGAAGAACCTGCCTGCTGTATCGACCCATTAAGTATTCTCGAAATATTCAAGTAGTGTATAACAAAACTGACATAAAAGAAAAGGACACGACACATTTAAAGTTATAATTCAGTTCTTCGATTCATTATGTTTTTCAGAAAATTTATTTTGATTCTTGGTATGAATATTTACAAAATCTCAAGAACCATAACTTTTTTTTTTTTCAATGTGGGAAAATCAGACGATTATGACTACTTTTTAATTCGACTATGATTTCTGCTAGATTCTTGAAACAACATGATGTTTTTCTAGTCTCGTGCTCAGTCTTACTTTACATATTACTTTATATATGTATATGTATTATTCAAAAGTTGGTCTATAAATTAAGACCAAGTATTCCTTAAAAGGAAAAAAAAAATAAAAAAATCTTTAAAAGCCAAAAGACCATTTCTCGATTTATGCGTGTCATCTTTGCGCATGGGCCATGCTAATCTTCTCTGTATCGTTCCAATTTTATCGAATGTCCCGAAGGGACTTTAAAAGGCAAAGGAATATACCAATCTTTAAAAGCCAAAGAAATATACCATGAGGACAAAACTTGCCCTCTCTTTTGTACTCCCTTCAAACCATATATAATCATTACTATCAATTTTTAAAAAATAAAAAATAAAATAAAATAAAATAAAATAAAATAAAATAAAATAAAAAATCTGATAGGTTAAAATCCTTCTATAAATAGTACAAATGTAGTATCTCTCATGACCTCAAACCAAAAACAAAACATGAATACCTCTCAAATAACTACTCCCATTCTCCTCCTCCTTCACATTGTCCTCTTCACTTTTTTCCCTTCCAAATCATCATCATCATCATCACAAGCTGAAGTAGATGCCCTTTTGAAATGGAAAAACTCCTTAAAACCATCCTATTCTCTCAACTCATGGTCTAACCACACAAATACATGCAAATGGCATGGCATTCAATGCAATAAAAATGGCTTGGTCACTCAAATCAATCTACCAAGTTCGAGTCTCACCGGAGACCTTAATCGATTCAATCTCTCCTTACTCCCGAATCTTGTCGATCTCGACTTGTACAATAACAGCCTGTCCGGAAAAATTCCCAAATCCTTATTCACTACAAGTTCGAAGCTCGAATATCTTAACCTCAGCTCAAATTCATTTAACGGTACTCTGTCCGAAATTTTCACTTCTGCAGGTCAGTCTCGTAATAATCTACAATATCTCGATCTATTTAACAATCGTCTTAATGGGCCTATACCGTCTTCCTTACCCGATGTACTCGAAAACCTGATATGGTTAGAACTTGGTTCGAACTTTTTCAGTTCAAATATTCCTCCCGCCTTCGGCAAATTTACTAAGTTGTCGTACTTAGGTCTTTCGAAGAATCACCTCTTTGGCACAATCCCGTCAGAGATAGGAAACATACTTAGCTTGACGAGCTTAGACCTTAGCACCAATCGGTTGTCAGGCACAATACCCCCGACAATCGTAAACCTCACCAAACTCGAATATCTTCAGCTTTTCACCAACACTCTCCGAGGAAAAATACCCGACCAGATCGGGAATCTGAGGTCCCTCATGAATCTAGAGGTCAACATCAACCGATTGACCGGAACTCTACCGGATTCCATCTGTAACCTTAGAAACCTCATCCGTTTGGCAGTTTCCGACAATCACTTGTCGGGAGAACTACCACAGTGCCTTGGATCGAAAAGCCCCCGGCTAGTTGACGTAAGCGTATCGAACAATGAGTTTTCGGGCCAACTGCCGAGGACACTGTGCAAAGGCTTAGCCTTGCAAGTACTCACAACAGACGTAAACAACTTTTCGGGCCCATTGCCAGACTGCATCAAGTATTGCAAGAACTTGAGGAGGGTACGCCTCGAAGTGAATAGGTTCTCCGGGAATATTCAAGACACATTTGGTAACCACACGAAGCTCAAATTCTTAAGCCTTAGTAAAAATCAATTCACGGGCGAAATCCCGCGCGAGTGGGGCCACTTATTAAAAAGCATCACGGAAATCCATATGAGTAACAACGGTCTCTCGGGCTCCATTCCATCCGAGTTAGGGAGTCTGGCTCAACTGCACGTTCTCGATTTGGGCACAAACAGATTAACAGGTAACATTCCTGTTGAACTCGGGAAACTAAACAGGCTATTTACTCTCGTACTTGTAAACAACCTTTTGACCGGAGAAATTCCTGCGGCCGTGGGGCAGTTGGGAAGGCTTCAGTTTCTCGACCTCTCGCGAAATAACTTCAACGGCGAAATTCCAAAGGACATCGGGAGTTTGAAGAGCTTGCTGAGCTTGAGTTTGAGCG